AATCAACTCTTTAGGAAATAAAGGAGAGCACTGAGAGAAATGCAAAATGTTCTGGAAAGTTTCAGGAATAGAATCAAAGAAGCAGAAGAAAGAACTTCAGAGCTCAAAGACAGTTTTCAAATGAACCCAATCCAACAAAGACAAAGAAAAAAGAATAAGAAAAAATAAACAAAGCCTCCAAGAAGTTTGAGATTATGTTAAGTGACAAAACCTCAGAATAATTGGAATTCCTGAGGAAGAAGAGAAATCTAAAAGTTTGGAAAACATATTTGGGGGAATAATTGTGGAAAACTTCTCTGGCCTTGCTAGCAACCTAGACATCCAAATATAAGATGCTCAGAGAACACCCAGGAAATTCATCACAAAAAGATCATCATCACCTAGACACATTGCCATCAGGCTATCTAAAGCCAAGATGTAGGAAAAAATCTTAAGAGCTGTGAAGCAAAAGCACCAGGTAACGTATACAGGAAAACCTATCAGATTAACAGCAGATTTCTCAGCAGAAACCCTACAGACTAGAAGGAATTGGGGCTCTGTCTTCAACCTCCTTAAACAAAACAATTATCAGCCAAGAATTTTGTATCTAGCAAAACTAAGCTTCATAAATGAAGGAAAGATAGTCTTTTTCAGACAAACAAATGCTGAGAGAATTCACCACTACCAATCCAGCACTACATGAACTGCTAAAAGGAGCTCCAAATCTTGAAACAAATTCTGGAAACACATAAAAACAGACACTCTTTAAAGCATAAATCCCACAGGACCCATACAAGAAAAAAAAACAACAAGGTATACAGGCAACAAATAGCACGATGAATGCAATACTATCTCACATGTCAATACTAATGGTGAATGGAAATGGCCTAAATGCTCCACTTAAAAAATATGGAATAGCAAAATGGATAAGAATTCACCAACCAAGTATCTGCTGCCTTCAAGAGACTCACCTAACACACAAGGACTCACATAAATGTAAGGTAAAGGGATGGAAACAGACATTCTATACAAATAGACACTAAAAGCAAACAGAAGTGGCTATACTTATACTAGACGAAACAAACTTTAAAGCAACAGCAGTTAAAAAAGATAAAGAGGGAAATTATATAATGATAAAAGGCCTTGTCCAACAGGAAAATGTTACAGTCCTAAATATATATACACCCAACACTGGAGCTCCCAAATTTATAAAACAATTACTACTAGATCTCAGAAATGAGGTAGACAGCAACACAATAATAGTGAGGGACTTCAATATTCCACTGACAGCACTACACAGGTCATCAAGACAGAAAGTCAACCAAGAAACAATGGATTTAAAATATATCCTGGAACAAATGGACTTAATGGATATTTACAGAACATTCTACCCAATAACCACAGAATATACATTCTATTCATCAGCACATGGAATATTCTCCAAGATAAACCATATGATAGGCCACAAAACAAGTCTCAATACATTTAAGAAAATTGAAATTATATCAAGTACTCTCTCAAACGACAGTGGAGTAAAACTGGAAATCAACTTTAAAAGGAACCTTCAAAATCATGCAAATACATGAAAATGAAATGACCTGCTCCTGAAGGATCACTGGATCAACAATGAAATCAAGACGGAAATTTAAATGTTCTTTGAACTGAACTATAACACTAACTCACCCTATCAAAACCTCTGGGATACAGCAAAGGCAGTGCTAAGATAAAAGTTCACAGCCCTAAATGCCTACATCAAAAAGTCTGAAAGAGCATAAATAATCTAAGGTCACAAACCAAGCCAAAACCCAGCAGAAAAAAGGAAATAACCAAGATTGGAGCAGAACTGAATGAAATTGAAACAATAACAACAACATACAAAAGATAAATGAAACAAAAAAGCTGGTTCTTAGAAAAATAAATAAAAATAATAGACCATTAGCAAGATTAACCAAGAAAAGAGAAAATCCAAATAAGCTCAATTAGAAATGAAATGAAAGATATTACAACTGACACCACAGAAATACAAAAGATCATTCAAGGCTACTATTAACACCTTTATGTGCATAAACTAGAAAACCTGGAGGAGATGGATAAATTCCTGAAAAGATCCAATCCTAGCTTAAATCAGGAAGGATTAGATACCCTGAACAGACTAATAACAAGCAGTGAGATTGAAATGGTAATTTTAAAAATTACCAACAAAAAAACGTCCAGAACCAGATGGATTCACAGCTGAATTCTACCAGACATTTAATGAAGAATTGATAAAAATCCTATTGACACTATTCAACAAGATAGAGAAAGAGGTAATCCTCACTAAATCATTCTATTAAGCCAGTATCACCCTAATACCAAAACCAGGAAAGGACATAACAACAACAACAACAACAAAACTACAGACCAATATCCCTGGTGAATATAGATGCAAAAATCCTTAACAAAATGCCAGCTGACTGAATCCAACAACATATTAAAAAAAATAATCCACCATGATCAAGTGGGCTTCACACCAGGGATGCAGGGATGGTTGTCAATAAATGTAATACACCACATAAACAGAATTCAAAACAAAAATCACATGATCATCTCAATAGATGCAGAAAAAGCATTTGACAAAATCCAGCATCGCTTTATGATTAACACCCTCAGCAAAATTGGCATATAAGGGACACACCTTGATGTAATAAAAACCATCTATGACAAACCCACAGCTAACATAATACTGAATGGGCAAAAGTTGAAAGCATTCCCTCTGAGAACTGGAACAAGACAAGGACGCCCACACTCACCACCTCTATTCAATATAGTACTAGAAGTCCTCAAAGGAGCCATCAGACAAGAGAAAGAAATAAAGGGTATCCAAATCAGTAAAGAGGAAGTCAAACTGTCACTGTTTGTTGATGATATGATCGTATACCTAGAAAACCCTAAAGACTCCTCCAAAACTCTCCTAGAACTGATAAATTAATTCAGCAAAGTTTCAGGATACAAAATTAATGTACACAAATCAATAATTCTGCTATACACCAACAGTGACCAAGCTGGGGATCAAATGAAGAACTCAACCTCTTTTACAACAGCTGCAAAAAAATAAAATACTTAGGAATATACCTAACCAAGGAGGTTAAAGATCTCTACAAAGAAAATGACAAAATACTGCTGAAAACTCATAGATGACACAAATAAATAGAAACACATCTCATGCTCATAGATGGGCAGAATCAATATTGTGAAAATGACCATATCACAAAAAGCAATCTACAAATTCAGAACCAATTCCCATCAAAATCCCACCATCATTCTTCACAGAACTGGAAAAAATTACTAAAATTCCTATGGATCCAAAAAAGAACCTGCATAGCCAAAGTCAGACTAAAATGAGGCTTCACATTACCTAACTTCACACTATACTGTAAGGCCATAGTCACCAAAACAGCATGGTACTGGTATAAAAATAGACACATAGACCAATGGAACAGAAGAGAGAACCCAGAAATAAACCCATATATTTACAGCCAAGTGATTGTAGACAAAGCAAACAAAAACATAAAGTGAGGAAAAGACACCCCATTCAACAAACGGTGCTGAGACAATTGGCAAGCCACATGTAGGAGAATGAAACTGGATTCTCATCTCTCACCTTATACAAAAACCAACTCAAGATGGATCGTGGACTTAAATCTAAGACCTGAAACTATAAAAATTCTAGAAGATAACACTGGAAAACCCCATCTAGACATTGGCTTAAACAAGGATTTCATGACCAAGAACCCAAAAGCAAATGGAATAAAAACAAAGGTAAACAGGTGGGACTTAATTAAACTAAAGAGCTTTGGCACAGCAAAGGGAACAGTCAGCAGAGTAATTAGATAACTCACATAATGGGAGAAAATCTTCACAATCTATACATCTACCAAAGGACTAATATCCAGAATCTACAAAGAATTATAACAAATTAGCAAGAAAAAACAAACAATCCCATCAAAAAGTGGGCTAAGGATATGAATAGACAATTCTCAAAAGAAGATATACAAATGGCCAACAAACATATGAAAAAGCGTTCAACATCGCTAATGATCAGGGAAATGCAAATCAAAACCACCACGTGATATCACCTTACTCCTGCAAGAATGGCCATAATCAAAAAATAATAGACATTGGCGCGGATGTGGTGAAAAGGGAACATTTCTGCACTGCTGGTGGGAATGTAAACTGGAACAACCCCTATGGAAAACAGTGTGGAGATTCCTTAAATAACTAAAAGTAGAACTACCATTTCATCCAGCAATCGCAGTACTGGGTATCTACCCAGAGGAAAAGAAGTCATTTTACGAAAAAGATACTTGCATACACATTTATAGCAGCACAATTTGCAATTGCAAGATTTTGGAACCAACCCAAATACCCATCAATCAACAAGTGGATAAAAAACCTGTGATGTGTATATATACGATGGAATACTACTCAGCCATAAAAAGGAATGAATTAATGGCATTCACAGCAGCCTGGGTGGAACTTGAGACTATTATTCTAAGTGAAGTAACTCAGGAATGGAAAACCAAACATTGTATGTTCTCACTCATAAGTGGAGCTAAGCTACGAGGATCAGAAGACACAAGAATGATACAATGGACTTCAGGGACTCAGGAGAAAGGGGTGGGAAGGGGGTAAGGGATAAAAGACTACATACTGGGTTCAGTGTGTATTGCTTGGGTGATGGGTGCGTCAAAATCTCACAAATACCCACTAAAGAACTTACTCATGTAACCAAATACCACCTATTCCCCCAAAACCTATGGAAATAAAAAAGTTGGGAAAAAAAGAATAGAGCCTGGATCACACAACCACGGACACAGGCACCAGCCGCAACCACACCACCGCCTGCTGCCGGCATCAGAATATTCTCAAATTGAGCCTGGGCTTAAGTCACAATCCACCATTTGTTTGTGGGACAGGCAGTCAGGGCAGATATTTTGGAAAAAAAAGAACCCTTCCTGTTTGCTGTGCATTATCTTCATACCAGTTCCCAGAACTGACCTGACAAATATTGACCAGGTTGCTGCGATCCTCAAACACCATTTTCCTGTGGGTAGAGGTGATGCACTGCTGAAGACCCGGGCCCCCACTCAGTGCCTTCGCTCTGTGAGTACTTTGCCTGTGCCCAAAATGAGGGCAGGGGCAGCAACTGCCTCACTCCCTTTCTCTCTCTCTCTCTCTCTCTCTCTCTCTCTGTGTGTGTGTGTGTGTGTGTGTGTGTGTGTGTGTGTGTGTGTGTGTGTTCCTGGCTTTGGTGGTAAGGATAGGAGAAGTAAGTCCCTGAAGAAGGAATGCAACCATGTACTCCCTCTGAGTCTTAAAGGAGGGACTTCAGGTTTTCAACCGCCTTTTATGGAACACTTGGCCCTCAAGAATTTTGAGAGAAGAACCCCGAATATTCCTGGCAGTTAGGCAAGCAAATGAAACAATACAACCTAAAGCACGATGACAATGATGCTGTAGCAAATTTACTAGAAGCCGTCCTCTGAAAAGGGTGCTTAGGAGCTCTGGTCTGGAGTCTGCGCCTTGCTCCTGCTCTCACCAGGTGGCTTGTCCTAATACTGCATCTGTTGCCCCCTGTGTACAGTAGGGCTGATAATCCCTGTGCTTTGAGGTTCTCATAAGGATTCAATTAAATAAGACAAAGCCAGTGTTTCTCAACAAGGGCACTACCAGTACCTGGGCAGGACCACTCTTCATTGAATGTGACTCTTCTGAGTGTTTCAAGAGCTTTCGGGAGCCCGGCTGTTCCCCAGCTAAACTCCAGCAGCACTCCTCCACCAGGCATTAAGCTGATCCAAAATGTCACCCCTACTTCCTTTACACACACCCCTCCCCATGCCTTTGTCAGGAGCCAGTGTTACATTGCATGTAATATTCTATCACTTCATAAACCCTTAATAAGTGAGAATACTATACTTTTTGAATATAGTTCTTAATTTTCCTCTGGTATCTTTCTGGAAGAGGAATTAAGAAATGAACTGGGCCTCATTACCCCCAGGCTTGATAGAAAGGGAAAAAAACTGCTATTGAGTACTTTCGGCATGCCTAGAGCTTTGTACATTGACTGTCATATAATCTCGAAATGGCCCCACAGCCAGGAGGTGGCAATATCATTTGCATTTTGCAAAGGGAGACACTGAGTTTCAGAGAGCTGCTTTTGTACGGTATCAGGCAGTGAGTTACTGCACAGCCTTGATTCCAAGGCCCCTTCATTTACAATTCAATCCCCTTTGGGAAATAGATCCTTTGCAAGTCAGGGGGTCCTTGGGGTGCAGTGGGGTAGAAAATGGTGCTGAGTTCAATGGGATAAAAATAATAAACCAGAAATAGTTTCATCAGAGTCGCTTTATTTTACCCAGGGGTAGAACAATTTTTAAATTGATTTGCATCTTCCAAATTTTCAATCAAAAGAAAATCTGAAGTGTATGGAAGCTGTCATTAAGTGAACCCACACTGTGCTGCAGGAAGGGAGGACATAGCCTTGGGGACGTTCCCACAGGACTTTGACCAGCAAATGCATTTCAACATAGCAGATAATGAGACAACATTTGTCCCTCCTGACAGCTGGCCTTTGTGGTTTGGCAGACTATTCAGGGCACCAGGGGCTACAAACCATTTGCAAAAATATAACCTCTCTTGCACTGTCACAGCATTTGCAGTTGATCCAGAAGTCATTGGTTTGGGCAAAAAAGAATATTAAAGTGCCAGTTAAGACACAAATGTTATCAGGACAAACTAATGAGGAGTGATAGAGGTGGTCAGCAGTGCACAGCTGCTGTGCAATGAATGGAGAAGTGGAAGAGTTGGATGTGAAGGGAGAAGAGAAGGCTGCCTTCCTTACTGAGGACATCAAGGTTTGGGAGCGTCCCAGTAGCAATGTGGTCATGAGTCTTCTGCAAGAACCTGAGGATGTGTGTAGGGTGGGTGGGGGGATAGGACTGAAAGGGAAAGGAGAGCATGGAACATGGGGCAGGGTGAGCAGAGACAACACTGTTTGCACTGCAGTTTCCCTCCAGCTCAGGCTGCATTCCCGGCCCTAAAACAAGGGGTCTTCCTGCTCCTGTACCACTTTGATCCCCTGGAATTGGACTAAAGGCTCTTCTGGCACATTTTATAACTTAAAGCACAAGAGATATCACATGAGTTTGCGACGCCTCTCTTAATAAATACTACATGCCGGGCAGCTTAAACAACAGACATTTTTGGCTCACAGTTCTGGAGGTCCAAGATCAGGGGGTTGGCAGGGTTGGTACCTTCTGAGGCTGTGAAGGAGAATCTGCTCCAGGCCCCTTTCCTAGCTTTGCCTCTCTCCCAGTTTGCTGGCCATCTTTCACGTTCCTTGGCTTGTAGAAGCACCACCCTGCTCTCTGCCTTCATCTTCACACGGCATTCTCCCTGTGTGCTGTCTGTGTCCAAATTTCTCCTTCTTGTAAGGACATCAGTCCTATTGGATTAGGAGCCTGCTCGAATGACCTCATCTTAACCGGTTACATCTCCAATGACCCTATTTCCAAACAAGATCATATCTGGAGATACTAGGTGTCCAGACTTCAGCATATGAATTTCGGGCAGAAAAAATTCAGCCCATAACAGATATCATCCCCACAGCCCTGCAGCAATAAAAAAAAATAGAGGTTTCAGCCTCTGCATGTGACAAGAGGCATCCCAGATATTAGAGGCTGGACAGAGACATGGAGACAGAGTTCCTGTCTCTCGTCATTCCTCTAGGCTCCATCAATCCTGCTACTTTGCTACCCACTCCTGGGCTGTCCTCATCCACACGTCCAGATGGTTGATCCTCACATCCGCACTCCAACTAATGAACGACTGGAAAGGGGGAGGGCACTCTTCTTTCTCTTGAGGTCTGACCAAGGCTTTGCACATCATCCTTTCCTTTCCAATGGGCAGGATCATAGTCAATAGCCATACTGGATGTGAGGGAGGCCTAACATCACTGGCAGCGTGGCCAGGACATTTGCTCCAAGCATGTTCTTCTCAATTTGTCATCACATATATATTTGCGTATTTAGCTATTGAGTGCCACCTAAGCTAGTGTCAGTTAAACCCTAAACTCTAGGAAATCTGAAATTTTGTTTACTTCTTTCTCCCACTAAGTAATGAGGACCTAGTGCACTTCTTGGACCAGGCAGATGCTTGAAAGTTAATGGATGATTGAAAGAATGACTGGAAAGAAGAAAGAAAAGAGAAGGAAGGAAGGAAGGAAGGAAGGAAGGAAGGAAGGAAGGAAGGAAGGAAGGAAGGAAGGAAGGAAGGGAGGGAGGGAGGGAGGGAGGGAGGGAGGGAGGGAGGAAGGAAGGAAGGAAGGAAGGAAGGAAGGAAGGAAGGAAGGAAGGAAGGAAGGAAGGAAAGAAGAAAGGAAGGAAGGAAGGAAAAGAGGGAGGGAGGCTAGACTATGGAAGTTGTTTTGCTGTGGTGGTGGTGGTTGTTTTTAAAACAGATTCTCACTCTGTTATCCAGGCTGGAGTGCAGTGGTGCAATCACAGCTCACTGTAACCTCCACCCTCTGGGCCCAAGTGATTCTCCCACCTCAGCTTCCAGAGTAACTGGGACTGCAGGCACATTCCACCACACCCAGCTAATTTTTAAAAACTTTTTGTAGAGGGGGGTCTCCATATGTTTCCCTGCCTGGTCTTAAACTCCTGGGCTCAAGCGATCCTCCCAAACTGCTGAGATTACATGGTGTGAGCCACCATGCCTGGCCAGGAGTTGCCGTTGTTGTTGTTATTGTTGTTTTATAACCCAGAGACTTTTACTCAACAAAATCTTAGAAACCTATGTGTAAACAGATAAAGGGTTGCTACCCTCACTGAAGCCTTAGAAGAAAGTGTCCAGAATCCTAATTGTCCACCACCTTATCTTCTTTAGTGCCCCTCATGGCAGCCCTGTGGGCACATTGTGAAGGTGAGATTTGTGATATGAGCAATAGAGAATTGTGACATTATTTATGGAGAAAAGTGACATGTTCATCCTCTTGTTTTCAGAGAATGGGGCCAGCTTGGCTTTGGCTACTGGGAACAGGGATCCTGGCCTCTGTCCACTGTCAATCCCTTCCTGCCCATGGAGATAAAAGTCTGCAGGGGCCTCAACCCCCTGGGCATCAGCTCTCAGAGCCAGCCCCCGCCTACCGCAGAATCACACCCACCATTACCAAGTTTGCTTTGCGTTTGTACAAAGAGCTGGCAGCAGACGACCCTGGAAACATCTTCTTCTCGCCGGTGAGCATCTCCACCACCCTGGCCCTACTCTCTCTTGGGGCCCAAGCTGACACCTCAGCTCTGATCCTGGAGGGCCTAGGATTCAACCTCACAGAAACCCCAGAAGCCAACATCCACCAGGGCTTCCGGAGCCTCCTCCACACCCTTGCCCTGCCCAGCCCCAAACTCGAACTAAAAGTAGGAAACTCCCTGTTCCTAGACAAGCGACTAAAGCCTCGGCAGCACTATTTGGACAGCATCAAGGAGCTTTATGGAGCTTTTGCCTTTTCTGCCAACTTCACAGATTCTGTTACAACTGGGAGGCAGATTAATGACTATGTGAGAAGGCAAACATACGGGCAAGTCGTGGACTGCCTCCCAGAGTTCAGCCAGGACACGCTCATGGTTCTTGCCAATTACATCTTCTTCAAAGGTGAGGCTTGCTCAGACAGAATTATTGCCACTGCCTCTGCAAGTAAATGCTCTTACAGCAGAGAGCCAGCTAACAGGTTCTTTGCTAACCACTTGGGGAAATCTATGAATAAGATAGAGCTTTCCCACCCTTGCGTGGCCACAGTCCATGTGGGTTGGAAATAAGTACAGACGCAAGCAAAATAACTCAGTGGGATGGTGATGTTCTCCTTGCGTAGGTATTGGGTCCCACAGAGTTCCCAAAAGAGACACCCATCCAGACTTGAGAAGCTTCCTGGAAAAACAGCCACCCAAGCTAAAACATGACAGTGAGTTTTATCCATTCAGGTGAAGAAGCTTGGGAGAGGTGGGGCAAAGAGGGTTCAGGTTGCAAAAACCCAGCATATCTAAAGGTCCAGGGAAAAGAGATATCGTTGCATTTTCAAAGAACTGAAACAAATTTAATTGGGATAGAACATCAAACACAATAGCAGAATAATAGCAAGGAGCCAAGAGTTGCAATGTAGAGGGAAACAGAGCCACGTTGAGGGTTCCCAACTTTATTCAGGGAACCTTAGAATTGCCAAAGAGTTTTAAGTGTGAAGTGATAAGATTACATATTTTTAGGAAGATCAGACTGGCTACAGTTTGGAAAGTGGTTTGGAAGGGAGAAAGGGGGAGAAAGGAGAGACAAGTTGGGAGGTTTTCAAAGTGGTCCAAAGTAAGTAGAATGGTGGGCTTGAATAATGTTGCGGTTTTGGAGGCTGAATCAGCAATACTTGGTCACTGATTGGGTGTGGGTATGTAGGACAGGATGATCCAGTTCTCTTGTTATCAAGACCAGTGCTTGCAAGGGGTGTTTGTGGGGACAGATTTATAAGAAGTAAGAGAGAAGATACTACACATGTGAATGTAACCATGACCCCAAAATTCTGCATTTCTAACTACATCTTAATGGGCTTTTGCCTAATGTAAGACGTTTTATTAATTGAATTCTTTTTCCTTTTTCAGTTTGAAGATTAGGGAGTTGGGGTGGGTGGGTGAAGGAAGGAGTTCTAGAGCATCTCTGTAGAAGGTTGTTGTCCAGAGGCAGTTTGGTTGAGAGGAATTAATTCAGTGTGTGCAAAAGCAACCTGAGCTGCACAGTCAGTCCTCCCAGCTCTGCAAATCAGTATGTTTAAATACATTCACAAAGACTCAGTTTGATCATCCCTTATATAGGAATAATAATACTTATTTCTTATTAATTTTTATGATAATTTAAAGAGATAATGTCTAGCACATGGAAGGTGCTTAGTAGATGGAAAAATACCGTTCAGCTTCTTAGAAGCTAAGTTCCTCTGAAATGGAACAAAATCATAGGCTGTTAGGGCTCAAACACTGGTGACTTGTCCTAGAGGCCTGACTCAGGCCTAAATTCTGGTCTCCTGGCTCTGTATCCATTCCACTTTTTTGCCATATACTTGCATAGCCAAGAGGAAGTGTGGTTTTGTGTGTGTATATACCCAGAGGTGATCTCTTGAAAAGAGTTCTCATGGCCTTATGGGATTTGTGTCCTAAGCCAAGTGGAAGCACCCTTTCAGTCGCTACCAGACCCAGAAGCAGGAAAGTTTCTTTGTGGACGACAGGACCTCTCTCCAGGTCCCCATGATGCACCAAAAGGAAATGCACAGATTCCTCTATGACCAGGAGTTAGCTTGCACCGTCCTCCAGATAGAATACAGAGGAAATGCCCTGGCGCTTCTGGTCCTCCCTGACCCGGGAAAAATGAAGCAGGTGGAGGCCGCTCTGCAGCCAGAGACCCTGAGAAAATGGGGCCAATTGCTCCTGCCCAGGTAAGTGTCACAGCAGAAGGGTGCTAGCTGACCTTGCTCAAGAACCCCAGTAGGTCTTGATCAACTCCAGCTGCAAAAGCCCAACATCTCGATTAGGCTCACCATCTTGTCCTTTACTAACTGTGTGATCTTGACAATTTTCTCACCTTTTTTGGGCCTTTACTGTAAAACAGGACATGATACCTGCCTCATTGGGTTGCTCAGTGGATTCATTGAGTTTCTACCCATAGAGAACATAGAACTCAGACTGGTATGTGGAGCATAAGAAGTGCTCACCAGGCATTGACTGTTATTATACTTTCCTGGTGTCTGTCTGGTCCCCATCTCCTTTCCTCTTGCTTTCCTCTCACCACCGCACCCCCACTTAACAATTCACTACCAGAAGGTGGTTAAGTGCAGCCAAAAAATCAGATCAAAGACAGTGAAAAAAAATCATGGCTGGGTGCAGCAGCTCAGACCTATAATCCCAGTGCTTTGGGAGGCCAAGGTGGGAGGATTACTTGAGGCCAGGAGTTTGAGACTAGCTTGGGCAATATAGCAAGACTGTGCTGCAATACAAAATGAAATATATATATATATATATATATATATATATATATATATATATATATATGAACGGCATCACTATGCCATTTAACAAACATGAGGAACCTGAAGCGGAGATGAGTGAGAGACGATGGCTGCTTTTATTAGGGGATGCCAGGAGGTGGATTTAGGACCTAGTTCAGAAGCTGAGCCAACAGAACTTACTGATGTATCAGATATGGAAGTGGGAAGATGTTGAGATATATATATAAGGCTGGGCATGTTGGTGCATGCCTATAATCCCAACTACCCGGGAGGCCAAGGAAAAAGGATCACCTGAGCCCAGGAATTCGAGGTTACAGTGAGCTATGATTGTGCCACTGCACTCCAGTCTGCACAACAAAGCTAGATCCTATCTCTAATAAAAAATTATTATTATCATTATATTGTTAAAGGGTGCTTCTATTTTAATTGAAACATGTTTAGAAAATTAAATATCAAGAACATTGTAAACATTAAAATTCCTGTTTTATGTGATCTCTAAACTATTTCCCATCTCACTCACTTTTTGGTTTGTAGTTTCATCACAACTTCAGCTTTTTCTAGTTTCCCTAGATCCCTTTAACCAGCTAGTACTTTCTTGGGGGTGCATCTTCTTTTATGGGGTACTCTGAGATGAAATCTGGTACTGAGTTCTACTCACTGTTTGCTGCATAACAAGCCACCCCAAAACTGAATGACTTAAGACAATCACTTCCTTGGTTCTATGGATTAACTGGACTCAGCTGAGCAGTTTTCATGTGTTGGGGTAGATGGTAGCTGGAGCTGAAGCCAGTGAACTCTTTTCACTTATGTGTCTGGTGCCTGTGCTGGGCTGACTGGAGGAGACTAAGGCTGGGAGGCATCTCTCTCTGCAGGTAGTGTCTCCATGAGGCTAGCTCAGGTTCAGTAACTCAGCATAGCTAATACTGGTATAAGGCAGCTAGGGTCTCCAAGACAGAATATTTCAAAGGCAGGAAATGAAAGCTACCACTCTGGTAAGGCCTAGGCCCGAAAATCAGCACAGTGGCACTTCTGCCACATTGTATTGGTGGCAGAGCCAATGGGTGGGTGGTGCAGAGCCCACCCAGATTCAAGGGGAGGGCGCATAGATGCCACCTTTTGATGATCTTGAATCCACCACAACCTGGTAGGCACCAGCCACCCCACATATCCAAAGGTGGCTTCTCTCAGCACCCCATTCACACTGAGGTACCAAGGATAGAGAAGGTATTCTGTGTTTGGGCAGAGATTAAAGCACCAAATAGGAGGCACAGGCCAAGGGGAGAGGCCAGGATTTAAGGGATTATTCCTGTTGTCTATGAAGCTCCACGGCTCTAGTCAGTTGCTAATTTCAGCCCCATAGTCCCTGGCTCCTTTGGGGTGAGACTTCTCCTTGCCCCCATCAGAGAAGGGACTGCCATAGACTCTTCTAGACCAGTAGATTTTCCCTCAGGGAGGGTTTGGTTTGACTTCTTCCCACTTTGACATTCTAAAAGCAAAACTGACCCAAATTACTCCTCTAAATCTCAGATATTCCTTGTGCCAGAGAGTTACAATATCATAGTAGCCATCTGTATGGGCTTTTAGATATAAGAATTTCAGACTCTGCCAAGTTTCATTCCATTCAGACCTGAGGCAGGTTAGCTTGCCAAGGGGAACTGCACTTCCTGGCACACCATTCGTGTATGTATTCATTCACAGTTGTTGAACACCCACTGTGTTTTGGGCTCTCTGTCAGACCCTTGCCCCACTAGACTCTACTCCACCCCCCAGCCCACTGGCCTGGGGCTTGCTTCCCACCCACGTGCTGCTTATGGGAAACTTGTCAAGTAGCCCTAGATGTCCTCCTACTTCAACTAGGCATCCAGACGCTCATATTGCTCAGGAGTCAAACCAGCCATGATTCTCTAACTTGAATTCAATTTTCTGAGGCAGAGGTATTCAAGTTGATCATGAACTAGTCATGCTTTCAGGTGCCTGGGTAGCTGTCAAATCATAATTACAAAGAACAATAGCACCGGAGAGAAAGGGCAGATTTGCTGTGGATCTAAAGAAATTTCTGAATTTAACCCAGGGAAACATGGCAATCAGATGGTAAAGATGCTCCAAACACAGGAGCGAGAGTTCATTTGTGCCCTATGCCCAACACACATGATCTCCCATCAGATCCTCGCAACAGCCCCAAGGAGGGGGCATCACTATGTCATTTAACAAACATGAGGAACCTGAAGCGGAAACAGGTGAGAGACGATGGCTGCTTGTATTAGGGTATGCCAGGAGGTGGATTTAGGACCTAGTTCAGAAGCTGAGCCAACAGAACTTGCTGATGTATCAGATATGGAAGTGGGAAGATGTTGACAGTATTTACCTCATGTGGTCATGATGTGGATTCCATCAGTTCAGACTTGAAAAAAACATAGCCAATATCTGACACCTAGAAAGCCCTCTATAAATGTGATGAAGATGACAAAGACATGTAGCTGTGCCTGGAGTCTTCTCAGATCCAGCCACAAGATATTCCAGGAGGTCCAAAGAGAAGGGAACTATTGGTATGGGTAGTGGAATGGTCCGCCATAGTGAACAGTGTCATGGGAAGATTGGTTGCCTCTCATGCTGGGAAATGCCTCTCTCCCCCATGGCTCAGGCTGCCAACATACAGAGCAAGAGTGGCACATATAACAAAAGAGCACCATTTCTCTGTGTGTTTCTCTCTCCAGTCTGTTGGATTTGCACTTGCCAAGGTTTTCAATTTCTGGAACGTATAACCTGGAAGACATACTTCCCCAAATTGGTCTTACTGACATACTTAACTTAGAAGCTGACTTCTCAGGAGTCACTGGGCAGCTCAACAAAACCATCTCCAGGGTAAGGTGGTGAATATGGATGTGTGTGGGCAGGTGGGGGCAGGGAGGAGGTTTCTCCTTTGGCATGTGGGACATTTAAAAGTCAAGTTCTCTGTTCTTTGTCTTATGCAGACTATTTAATACCACAGGTTTTTTTTGTTTGTTTTTTTTTTGTTTGTTTTTTTGAGATGGAGTCTCACTCTGTCGCCCAGGCTGGAGTGCAGTGGCCAGATCTCAACTCACTGCAAGCTCCGCCTCCTGGGTTCACGCCATTCTCCTGCCTCAGCCTCCTGAGTAGTTGGGACTACAGGCGCCCGCCACCACGCCCGGCTAGTTTTTTGTATGTATTAGTAGAGACAGGGTTTCACTGGGTTAGCCAGGATGGTCTTGATCTCCTGACCTCGTGATCTGCCCGTCTCGGCCTCCCAAAGTGCTGGAATTACAGGCTTGAGCCACCGCGCCCAGCCAATACCACAGTCTTTAAGGCTTCTTTTCATGGGCTTCTCCTTCTCTCTCTCCCCTTCCTTAGTTTCCTTCTATTCTTCAGGACAAGAATACAGGGTTCTAAATAGAATTGATGGTCATTTGGGGTCAACCATGCAGCCAGAATTTCCCCAGGTGTTGGATAGCTTTATTTTGATTCCTGATACCTCCTTCCAGGGCAGCAGTGAAACTCTACCTGCCTTTGTTGTAGCTCTAGAGGGTAGTGAGCTATGAACTAGAGGTGCATCAGTCAGCTTTGCTGCAGTAAGAAAACAATCCCAGAATCTCAGTGCCTTACTGCAACAAATGCTTATTTCCTGGTCGTATTACCTGTCAGAAGCAGGTCACTACCATCAGCCACAGGGCTGCTGCACGCATCTCCCTTCCAGGATGTAGGTTAAAGAAGCCCCTGTTTGGGGCAAACCATTTTCATACAAGGGGAGGAAAGCAAAAGAAGATGTGTACATGGCTCTAAACACTTGTCCCCCACACAGCCTGTGCCATGGCCACTCACGTGCCATCAGCTGAAGCAAGTCCCACAGTCCCGATCATCTCCCCCTGCAGGCGGCTCTGCCAGTCTTGTGGAACTGTCAAGGACCGATAACCCTCTAAAGGGAAGAGAGAGTTCATATTTGGAAATAACAATGCATTCGTCATGGAAGAGAAGACACAAAGGCCTTTCCCTGAGCTTCAGCTGTCCACTTCGTTTTAGGATAGACTTGTCCATTACCTTTTGAGTCTTCATTAGAAACTTCATGAGGAAGTTATTCTGTCTTTTATTTGGGAAAGATCAGCTGAGGAGACATGGTCTTGTGTGCACGTACACATGTGTGTGCATGCGTGTGCATGTGTGCATATGTATGCGTGCATATTTGCATGTGTGTGCATGTATGTGTGTGTACGTTGGAGAGTTAACAAAAAGGGAAAAGAAGTAGTTTAGCTTTTTTTTTTTCTTTCTCTGAGAAAGAGTTTCACTCTTGTCGCCCAGGCTGGAGTGCAATGGTGCAATCTCAGCTGATTGCAACCTCCATCTCCCAGGTTCAGGCGATTCTCCTGCCTCAGTCTCCCAAGTAGCTGGGATTACAGCCCGCAACCATGCCTGGCTAGTTTTTTGCATTTTTAGTAGAGATGGGGTTTCACCATATTGGCCAGGCTTGTCTCGAACTCCTGACCTCAGGTGATCCACCCACCTCGGCCTCCCAAAGTGCTGGGATTACAGGCGTGAGCCACCGCACCCAGCCTAGCTTTTTAAAGAAAAAAAAAATTTTTTTTCACATTGACCTTAAATGCTAGATCTATCTTTTAATATAGCTTTTTAGTTAATTGAAAGGGATCATCAAGGCCAATGTTTTATCCACTTTTTTCAAAGCCTCAAAATCCTTTCTTCCTAGGAAGTAGTGTGAAAATGAGGCTTAAAAAAGGGAAGTTTTTGGCACAGAGGTTGGCAGAAGGTTTGGCACATCAGACATGCTGAGCACTTTCTGAACATCATTGACTTAAGCTGAGTGAGCCATTTTACAGATGAGAAACCGAGACTTAGAGAGATTATGCGGAGCTTGTAGCAGAAAATGACAATAAGGCCTGTGCCACAGGTACACCCAGAGGCTGGAGAGATGCTCCTAAAAGTTGTTTTTGGGTTTTGCAACCTGGTACCTGCTTAGCAGCACTCTAGTTCAGGTCCTTTTGTCTCCCCATTAAAGAGTGATGGGTGATGTCGGTGTAAACCCTTGGGATGAGCAGTGTCTTCTACTTGAAGGCCCCCGAACTGATACTGTCTTCATCCCCTCTTGTCCTCTAGGTGTCACACAAGGCGATGGTGGACATGAGTGAGAAGGGGACCGAGGCCGGGGCTGCTTCAGGCCTCCTCTCCCAGCCCCCATCTCTGAACACCATGTCAGACCCACATGCCCACTTCAACAGGCCTTTCCTCTTGCTCCTTTGGGAGGTGACCACCCAGAGCTTACTCTTCCTGGGAAAAGTTGTCAACCCAGTTGCAGGGTAACCGTGGTGGGAGGCCAGGGGTTATCTTATCTCGCCCTAGACCAAACAGATAGGGCAGCACCAGCCTGCATCCTGGGGCTGCTATGTGGACCAGTTAATCAGTGTGCCAAGATTCTAATAAAGTTGACCTTGGGTTCTGTGAACACTAAAGAGCAATGCTTACAAGGGAGGGCCAGCTTCTAGCCACTCACTCACAATTGTCCCAAATCTGGTGTTAACTGTGCTCAGAAAGTTGAAAATGAGAACAACCCTCGTGTTATGGCCTCCCAGGAGACGTCCACCGCTGCTGCCGCCATTGTAGATACTTGCTGCGCATCCTTTGGGTAAGGGTCAGAGTGAAAAACACAGAGGGCATCAGCAGGAGTAAGCAAGTTTCTCCCTTCATAATGGCCAATATGTGCTGTACAGACAAGAGAGATTGTCCTAAAATGTCATCGCCCAGACATCAGGGGCTAGATCCCCTCAAGAGGAGGTTGGACCTGCGTCAGGGCTCCAAACTACACCCCATGTAGAAAACCAGGTGTGTGGATGGGCCGACGTAATCATGGGTCAACCTGGAGGGAGGTCGAGTTCAAGCAGCAAGAATGGAGCATCAGAGCCCAGGGCAACACAAAGACCAAAGAAAGCAGGAGGGCAAACATGGCCGGGAGGGATGATGGACATCGGGCAGGGTCAGTGGGGTGAATTGGGGGCCATATTCGGTTGCAATGGAGCCTCCATTAGAGATCGAAAGTCCTACTCCCCCATGTGAGCCCCCCCAAGAGACATTCATTTGAAACTAGTGGGGAAGCAGAAAGAGATGCCCAGCTGCCTGTGCGTACCACTTGGATGATAATACCCATCACTACAATGAACTCCGTGCCCAGACACACCGGAGGGTAGGATATAGGTGGTGAGTATCTAGGAAGGAGCCATCCCAAAAAGTGCTACAGTGGTGGAAACTCCTGACCTACTCCAAGGAGGTGAGGCTCAGATCCTGAAGACCAGGTAAGCTTTAAATAAAGAGAAAAAGGTAGGACAGTCTGGGAGAGGCCAGAGGAGAGATGTGATTGGCAAAAGCAATGGGTAAAGAGAGGAAAAGGTATGTTCCAGTAAAATGAGAGAAAACCAGCTTTGCAGCCATGGAAAGTTCAGGTAGGGTCATGGTGGAAGGCAGTGTTAGAGAGGTGTTCAGAGATAAAAGGCTGGAGGCTTTAGGTCCCCGTGGAGTGGGTGTGAGCGTGGTCTTGTAGACAGTGGAGAGTAGCTGCAGGCCTGTGGGCAGATGTGGATATGGACTAAGTAGTAATGGGGAAGTCATCTGTCAATTGGGCATAGATAAGAATGAGTAGGGTGAAACCAGGGTAAGGGCCAGCCAGGATGGCAACATGCGGTCCACTCGACCACCGACCATGCTGCATGCAGGGCTATCAGAACACATTCATCCACTGCTTCAGTGCAGATTTATTAAACACCTCCTATGCCAGGCACTGGGAATGCAGCAGTGAACAAAACAGATGATACGTCCTGCCTACATGGGGCTTACATTCTAGCAGAGGAAACCCAGCACTAAACAAAACAAGTAAGTGAAATATGTACTGTATGATAACAGCAAGGACTGTTCAAGGACTGGTCAGCAAGGACTGGCCAAGAATATGCCCAGGAAAGTCTCTATGGTGCACATGAAGGGGCAACTGGCCCTGATGGTGACAAAGTGGATTGCTCAGTGGCGAAGCTGGATTTAAGCCCAAGGCTGCAATGTCTCCACAATCATCCTTCTTGATTAAAGAAAACTGCAACTGAAAGATCCCTCCCTGTCATCTCTTCTGAGAAAGTGGCATTTGATTGAAACCAAAGTAGTCAGTGGTCTAAAGATATTCATTAAGTGTCATGGAGGTATGGACCAACCCTTCAAGGCTTCCGCCTTCTGCACCCAGTGCTGCCTAGGGAACACACTATTGAGACATGTCTTGTGTTCACTGAATGTTAGACACCAATATAAGCAATTGACAGATGTCCATAAACTTACTATTTCCAACAGTCATAGGAGGGAGGCACTGCTACATCTTCATCTTACGGGTGGGTAAACTGAAGCACAACATGCTAGCATATCTGGAGCCTGGATTTGAACCCAGGCTGTTCATCTCCGTAGCCCGCTTGTTTCATCTCTATGCCACACTTCCTTTTGTGAGCACAACTTAAAAGCCCTTCAGCCATGCCTCGTTGGCTGCCACACTGCAAGGATCCAACTCCCAGGGTCATAGGAAGTAGGAGAGGGAAGAAGTCACAAGAGCAGGAGCATCTGAGGAAGACTTTCTAGGGAAAGACCCAGAAGCATGGATGGAAAGTTGGTGGTTTAAGAAGCACTGATTGAGGACAGGGATGTGCCCTTTGTTGTTTATTTCTGTATGCTGGTACAGACACTAGCATAGGATAAATAGTAAAACCTTTTCTACCTTAATGCTGTGAGGGGAAGTTGTGCCATGTGGCAGAATTCCATGACAAAGACTCAGGGGCAGGAAAGAAAGCAGCCTGGTGAAGGACATGGTATAAAAGTACACTCAGTTTTGGGAGAGAACTTAGTGAGAGAGACCCTGCTCTACTCCAAGCTGTGTAGACAGCACTCTCTCTCTTTGGCCTCTTGCCTTCCCTTCTCTTTGGGAAGCCAGTTGAGGCAGGCTCCCTGGACTCTAGTGACATCTTACACCCTTCAGCTGGCTGGACAACCTTGGACACATTGCTCAACCCCTCTGTGCCTCAAGTTCTTTTGCAAAATGGAAAGTGCAAACCTTGCTTTACAGAATTGTAGAAATCAAATGAAGACATAAATGTGAAACATTAAGCACTTTATATACACTAGGTGCTCAATGAGGTTTCCTTCTGGCCCCATCTTTTGGCTCTTCCAACTGTCAAGGGTGCTCTTTCCTCCCACGGAGCAGAGCTCAATGCCAGGTAATGTCAAAATCCCCCCAGTAGTCACTGGCCACATAACTACCTCCCAGCGAAACCATGAAGGCAGCACATCAAAACCCAAAAGTGTTGATGGAGAGGCCTCAGGGGCTTTATCTGGGCACTAAAGGTGACATCTGGATAACAGAACCATTCTTGCTGCAGGAACATTAGCTATGACACTATGGCATTAAGTGGGGGAATGCTGGCCCAGGGATCAGGGCTGAAATTGCAGAGGCCCACGTGAAGGAGAGCCACGTGATTTTCTCTAGAAAAGCATCATTGTTAGAGATTGTTCACTGGGTTGTTTCTCCTTTTCCCCCCAAGATGTCTCCTTCAGTCATCTGTGAATTAGGTATGAGTCTCCGTAAGCATACATTTCAGATGTATTTACACTCCAAACCAACCTTTTAACCACCTAGAAGAATGGACCATTTTCAAGATAAGTCAACAGCCATCTAAAATTTATATTTTCAGAGATCTTGCAATGCTCTCTCTGGTGGAATTGAAACATCTTTGTAAGGCCATAGAGTCCCCGGTATACTTATTTTGACTCTGGAATGGAGGTAAGTGGCTTGGAATGTTGGGACTAATGCCCTGGCCAGTTCCAGCCTATATGAACACACAGGGCCAAGTAATGAAAATATCACTGGGGACACTGGTGTCTGTCATTCCACCTCAAGGTTCTATGTGTTTCACAGAGACCATGAAAATATTTGTAAAATTTCTATTCCCTTTATTCTAGCCATGAACAGAGCTGAGATCTTTAAAGTTTTCTATGTATGGGTGGGTCTGTTTCTAGACTGTCTATTTACAATTCTATTGAATGATTTGTCTTCCCTTGTGTAATCTAGCTTTGTAAGTCTTGATATTATGTCAAGTCCTCCAGCTTTGTTTTATAGAAGTATTTTATTTGCTTATGCTGTTTAGTTTTGCTTTCAATGTTTGTTTGTTTTCCTGCCCACTCCACCAATTCTGGCTACAGTGGCTGGTGACTCTGTTTCTCCAGCTGCCCCACCCCTTCTCTTCCCACACTTATATAAGCCTCAAGTCCTATATTAAAACTTTTTATTTCACAGAGTATTTGGAGTGTCTCTGTTTTCCTAACCCAGACGGATTCATCTGAAAACGTCTTTGTTCTGCCTTCATGCTTGAAGGATATTTTCACTGGGCACACAATTTTAGATAGCCAGATGTTCTCTTTCAGGGCTATAAAGATGTCACCCATTTTGGCTTTCATTGTCTGAGTTAAAAAGTTATCTGTAATTACTATCATTATCCTTTGCAGGTAATCCATTTTTCCTTTTGGCTGCTTTAACATTTTTCTCTTTGTTTTTGTCTTTCAATTGTTTTCAAATGACATTCCTAGGTATAGTTTTCCATGTATTAATCCTAATTAATCTTAATCTTAATTAATCCTAATTAATGTTAGTGTTCACAAACCTTGAATATACAACTTGATGTCTGTTTTGGAAAATAGATACTATCTCTTTAAAAATTGCTTCTATTCCATTTTCTCTTCTTTCTCTGGGACAGTCAAACACATATCAGATGTCTTCGTGATGTGCCATGTCTCCTTCGCTCTTTTCTGCATTTTCTATTCTTTTTTCTTCCCGTGTGTAATCTGGATGTTTTCTACTATGCCTATCTTATACTTGTAGTCTTTTCTGCTATGTTTGATCTGCCTTTAAATAAATCTATAAAACTTTTAATTTCAGTTATTTTAATTTTTAGTGCTAGGGTTTTTATTTTATTCTTTTTATGCATTTTTGTTCTCTACGAAGTTCTTTATATTTTCTTCCATCTTATTACACAGGACAGTCATGGTTATTTTAAATCCTGTGTTTGATAACTCCAATATCTGATTACCTGTGAATCTCTATAGTCTATTCTATGCTGTTCTCTTGGTGTTTAATTGGTTTTTCTGTTACCTGGAATGCCTGGTCATTTTCACCGAATTCCGCACAGCGTGCATCAAAAATTATGTGGCTTTGGGTAATACTATCTTCCTCAAGAGGAGATTTGATTTTCTTCTCAGGCAGATCGAGTATAAAAAGATTACTTTGATTCAGCCAAGGATGGATTTCAGTCCTTTGGGGAGTCTGGTTTATTTCTCTTGGGGTTTACCCCTATAATGTTATCTTTGGGAGATGTCAACTGAGAGCCTGGGCTATTTGTGAGGGCTCCTCCCTGTTAACATGTTTATACACCAATT